ATTCCTACATCGTGTCCACTGCAGGTGCTTAATATACTCTGGCGTAACAAAATATATCCAATGTATTGAGGGCCTCCTAAAAGCTGCGGTGAATGACATAAGTAAATACACAATCATACTCCTCCAGTGTTATTAATGTTCTCCAAGGAGATCTGGGCACCGGATCTACCCTCATTTGATGGGCCAGAATGTGATACTAGAATATAAAACACCCAGAAATGAAGGCAGACAAGATATACCAAAGCCCACAATTTTGCAGTTGAGTTCCTTTTCAGGAAAAGTGCACCAGTCACAAAAATATTATCTAGTTGTTGAACCAATGATCCAAGCTGTCTCTTGCCAGAATGATATCTGGCTTTCAGCATAGGCTTCAACTTCGAATTGGAGAGCTCCCATAATCCTGATTCTAAGTCACTTGATGAAGAGGCAGGATTCATATTTGATGCTGACATATTCTCATCCAGCAACCTTGACACAGCCTGCCGAGTTGATTATGAAAATTGAAAATAAAGTATACCATGATTTAAAGAATCAGTATCATAGCCTCAGTTTAAAGCATACCTCGATTCTGAATACAAGACTTGCCTTCTCAGAAGAGAGTGATTCAACCTGTTGACATGTAGAATAATTTGTTTGAATAGGTAGGGGTCAGAAACAAGTAATTCAAGTCCCAATGCTGTATTTGAATGAATTTTTGAAATATTTTCTGTTTTTTTTTAACTGATTGAAAACTAGATCCGGTTAATTTGTTGGTCATTTTGGTTTGACTGCACCAGTAGGAATATTTACCAAACTGTTAATGTGTTCAGTCACTTATTATCCAGTGATTTTAAAACAGTAATCGATGAGCATTTGCACACATATTACAGCCAACTAACTGGATGTATGAAAGACACACCTTTGCTTGTTTCTGTATTAAATGGTCAGTCATCTGTTGAAGCCTTCGCTTGAGCTCAACTTCAATTTCTGTTGGCTCTTCTATTTCTTTCCTTGTAATGTCAATGTCAGATTCCAGCTTCCTTGCCTTTGATGTACAATTATATCAAATAGTTTCACACAGCAAAAGGAGATCATATTAACTTCACAGTACTAGTGATGCAGCAGCAGCATGCAGGTATGCAGAAAATTTATAATTTAATTTATGATAGCATGTCACTTTATATTTTAAATTGAATGGAAATTGACTAAAAAGCTTGCAATATATTTAAAAATTAATAATTTGAAATGGTTCCTTAAAAGTAGGAAATGTGTCAAGAGGTGAGCTTTTGTAATTGATTTAAATTTAAATAAAACGATTTCTGTTCACTTCCAATTATAGTTGAGTAAAACATTTCAGTTTTCACAAAAGTGAAAAAAGGACACCAAATGGGGAAATAGTATTAATGTTAAAGTTTCCAATCAATCAAACTTGGTCAATAAAGTGGTGCCTTTTAACAACCCTTATCAATGAAGGAAAAAGAAAGAACCTAGTTTAAACTATCAGTGTCAACTGCCGACCATTATGCTTCGATAATAAATAATTTAGTGTTTATAGGTTACTGCAACATGTTAGTATGGTGGTTTCTTATGATTGAATAATTCAGAAATTTCTATATCTTAGGATGGGTAATTTCTATAACTGCTATATTTGCAGCAGTCTAGGGCAATTATTTCTATTAGGATGGACAGTTTAGACTTTAGAGACAGTTATTTCTGTAAACATATTAACTAGTTTAATAAAAACAGAATAGATTATAAGGCAGAATTTTTAAGAAAGTTGGTACTTCTACGCTTGGAGATAGTGGGGTTCTGTCCAAACTTTGTTATAGCCAAATAGGACACGAAGGAAGAAGTCAGAAATCCCGTTTTTCAACCAGACTTTATTGTTCAAGGTCCTTTGACAAAATCTAAGGGGCAGGATCATAACTATTAGATAACAGGGCACTTAGTTGAGTAAATTGTAAAAGCAAGAAAAAAGGTGCAGATAATGGAAAATTTCCATGACTTAGAATACAATATATAGAGAAACTAAAATATACAAGTATAATTAATTAGGAGACTTGTTTTGATCCTTCCGGTATTTACTTTCTAAAATACAAGGAAAGAAAAAGAGAGACACCAAAATTCAAGATAGAAATTTCTAGGGGATCTACTAAAAATCATGAAATACAATGCATCTGAAATACTATAGTATAGCTCTTCATGGAAAAATTGAAAATATAGATCCATACTTAAGTTTAAGTTTAAAATGTTACCTTTTCCTGCAATTGTGCAACTTTATCATTAATTAAAGAGTGCTCTGCCTCAAGAATTTCCCGTTCAAACTCAACGCCTTTTGAAGCTAGCTACAACATCAGCATAGATAAAAAGATTTCAAGAATATCCATCTATAAAGATAGTAAAGTGAGCATAGAAGTTTAAAAGGGGAAAACAAGATCAAACAAAATAAGATACCAAGACTCTTAAAGTCCCCCACTCAGAAAAATAAATAAAAGAAACTGAAGTATCAATGTACCAGTTTCAACAAAATAATTGTATAACTTACTTGATTGTGTAAAGCCCCAGTTTGACGAGGATTCTTCATTCTCCTTCTGAGCTCTGCAAAAAGTTAAAGACCAACTTAATTACAGATTAACTCATTTCAATATAATTTCAACTACTCCCGCACACTAAATAACCCAATTTGCAAGTGAATGATAAGCATAGCAGCAAATTAATCATTAATTCACTATGTATATGCTTTTGAATAAGCTTTAAAATTATCATTGTCAGATTAATTGTTAGGGTTAAAACATATTCAAACTACAAGGAGACATGTATGAGGTATAAACCTAGGCAGTTAACGAGTCCATTGAAAAGACACATCTGTTAGACTGAAATCATGTATCAACGAGTCAATAAATTTGCAAAGGTGCAGTACCTTCATGAAACAACTCTTTTGTCGTGATTTGCTGTCTGAGTTCTGCTACTTGTTTAACCTGGTAAAATAATGTATTATAGTCAACACACCATAATTTAATATTCTTGCCCAGATATGAGGATGTCCAGAGACCAAGGAAGCATGGGAATTGAAGTAAAGAATGCTGTTAGGTTTATTCAATTTCAGTATACAGGATTCATTCTAATCCTTCCAAAAACTACATTTGCAATCAGAACATCTTTAGGGAATTGATTGGTCCATAATCCATTCAGTTTAGTTTTTCAGTTTTCAGTTCCAGCCATATTTTGGAGATTTTTCTAGACACGGTCCGTATCAGTTACAGGGATAAAATCTTGATTGAAATACATGACCCTTGTCAGCTTCACTAAACAGTCAGATTGATCATATTAAATGATTAATTATCTTATAAATTATTATGTCGCTATTTTTAGGAATACATAAATCATCACAAAATTAGGACTGAAGTCCAAATCCTGGAGATAGGAAGTAGCAACTATATTTTTCTAATCAATTATTTAATAGTTTTATACTTTTATCAATAGCTACAACCTACAAAGCTTATATTAGATTCTATGAATCATGTGAATTGGAGGGAAGTCCCCAAAGAATTTAAATATACCTCTACTTCAAGGTTCCACTGCACAGATGCAAGGGATCTTGCAAGGTCAGCATTGGCAGTCTGCAACCAACCCAGAAATCTATCAACAAACTTATCTAGATATATTTGTGAAACCAAAACATTATAAACTATTCATAGAAAGGTGTATTAAGTTACTAATTTATACTATCATATATTTGGTAAAAACAAATGACTGGAATAAGTTAAAATCAACATACCTCCAGTTTAGCTAAAAGTGCAAGAACTTCCATTCTAGTATTATTATGTTTCTGCTTTTCTAAGTCAACTGCTTCCATTGTTTCCATCATAGTGCTCTCAAGCTGTGAAGCCTGAGGCAAGGAACAAAGGGGATTAGATAAATAACCAATAGATCATAAACATTAAGTTCCATCCATACAACAGTTAACTTTGAAGCAATTTCAGCTCAAAACGAGAAATTCCTATACAATGGTAGCCTTTGGTAGACATGCTGGAATGGGATAAAATATAAAAATATGGTTTCTATTTATGTTTAGTGCATTTTAAAAACAAAACAGAACAGGAAATTAGATTAAAAATAGTGGTGCATTTTGATTCCCTAAGAGGGTGAAACCAAGAGTAGAAAAACAGAACATAACCATTTAATTTTGTTATGTCTGCAACATTGCCCATATCATACAGTAGACATCATATTGAGCATAAACAGTATACACAAAACTGGAAAAAAGCAAATATAAAGATCGATTCTTCAATTGTAATGATGTTACCTCTTGTGCTTGTTGTTTAGCTCGCTCCTCAAGTATTTTCTCTAGACTTTCCTTCTCTCCCTCTAATTTGGCCACCATATTCTCCCGTTCTTTGATAGCATTTATTGCTTTAGCTGCTGCTTTCTCAGCCAAAATCCTTTCCCTCCTCCTCCTCCTTTCCTCCCTCTCATGTTCACTTTCAGAATCAGATGTTGAACCAGAATCTGTATCTGAATCAGAACTTCCATCACTAGCCACGGGAGAACCCCTTTTCAAATCATCAGAGACTGAATTAAGCTTATGCCTCCCTTTTACCGCACTTCTCATTTGACTGCCATCAACGTCTACCACAGTCGTAGCTTCTTGGTCCTTATCAACCCCCAATCCTGGTATGGTTTCTGCAGCCAAAGTTTTGTCGTCTTCCTGCAACAATTCTGGTGGAGAAATGTCCCAATAATCAACATGGTGCTCATTTTCTTCATTTCCCTTTTCATCAACCACAGGCTTCTCAGAACTGTCATTGTCAGCATACTTCAGGCCTTTACCCCATTTACTATCACTCTCCGATTCTACAGCCGAGCTCCTCCCCGTCGAAGTTGAAGAGGTGGATTCCTTCCCATCATCACTGGCTTTTCCACTCAATTTAACTTCTTTTGCAGAGTCTGATTTCTGCAAAGACCTCTGACCATTGTTACCACTCTTTGAATTCCTCGTCACATCCGACACCAACAACCCTGAAGACAAACCCTTCTTCTTTCTAATACTATTTTTGCTCAAACCACGAGGTGCAGGTAACCCATTACTATGATTTCCCCCAGAAGCAGAAGCTATAGACTGAGCAGGTGCACTTAGGAGCTCAGTCCAATCATCATCTGTAAGGGTAGGACCAGATTTGGGAGATAGTTTGGGTGCACTTGCTGTAGCTTTAAGCCCATTAAAATTGGGATCACTGCGCAGTTTTCCGTGATATTCATTACTCTCAAAGGGTTTCTTCTTCAATTGATCCTTCAGTGACAAACTGCTCAATGATTTCGCGGGAGCATCAATGCTCGGTTCCTCCTCGGATCGAAGCCTCTCGTTCTTGCGAAGCGATTCAGCCGCTTGCTGATCGATCTGAACCGTCCGTTACGCAATTGCGAAGAACAAACAAATGAATATCGTTCACGAAAATACAAAGAGAACTGGAATAATGATAATCATGCTATAAATTGAAATTAGGGATTCAAAAAAGGCAAAAATTAAACCAAAAATGAAAAAGAAAATGAGAAGCATTGTTATAATTGGACTTGCCTGGTGGAGAATGTTCTCTGCGGCTTTAAGTTTGGAGGAGATCCAATGCGCCATGGTTTCAGAGGACGAGATGTGAGAAAAAGAATAGGTGACGGAACCGCAATTGGCGCGTGAACAGCGAAACGCGGCGTTTCGTGGAAATTATGCGCGTGCGAAAGGGATGCTGGAAGATGATGATGATTTTCTATGAGACAGATCCATGATGATGATGAAGAAGAAGAGTGCCATAAACATGAAAGGTGCAAGGAAGAAGATGGAGAGTGAAAGTTAGAGTGACATGCGGGTCATGAAACATGTTTTGTTGGGCCAATCAATGTTGAGTGAATCAGACTGCTTCGGTTTGGGTCCCACTTGGCGTTATCCGATGATTTTGCCCTCACAGCAACCAAACTACCACCCTTAATGGGCTTCAACGTTAAGTCTTTTCAGCCCAGTAAGGTGTGAAGCCCAATAAAAGCAAAGCCCGTTAATTCATTCATTTTTTGTCCATATGGTCTATTACTCGTACTCTGTGACTCGAAAAATTTACCATTTATGACCATGGCTTTGAAATATTCAGAAAAAAATATTTATTATAAATAATAATTAGTGGCTTAATTAGTGGATATCAATATTTATTATTAATTATTACTATTTATATTTTTGTTATGTATTATTCATTTTATTCTGTAATTGTTCAGTTACCAGATATACTTATAAATAAGTTAGTCCTCTCTCAAAGATAATATTTTGTATGCAGCCGCGTTAAATCTTGGGGCCAGCTATCTCATCCTTTGAGGTACGTTGGAGGAGATTAGGCACTGCTATCGGCGGTGGATACTCCAGGGACGAACAAAAAAAAAGATTCTTTTCTTAATGGTGGATATTCCATGGACGAACAAAAAAAAAAGATTCTTTTCTTTATTCTCATATTATCTTATTTGTTCTCTCTATTTTTCTTCCTTTTATAAAAATATTTGATTTCTTAGTTTGAATTGTTTTTATGGCATTATTTTGAATTAATTACATTATTGGGTAATTTACATATCCCATTTACTTTCTTAAAATAACCAAATACGCAAGAATGTATACTTTTTTGTTATTTCAAGAATAATCAAATCTCATTAATATTATCCCACTAGGAATTTGTTTTGAGTAAAAAAAAAGAAAGAAAATAGGAAATAATAGCAATTTAGTTTGACTACTGAAAAGTTTAATGTGTTCTCTTACGGTGTTAGTCATGGCAACTGCAGTAAAATTATCCTCTACCATGTTTGGTACATCACTATCTTCCGTGTCATATCTTTATTTGCAAATCCAACCTCTTAAGTGGATGATTATTGCAACACAAAATGATTAGAACAATGTAATTCTAGAAGTTGAATTTCCATTTGCTCTTTCAAAACTTTTTAAATCATGTTTCTGTTTTAAAAAAAATTATAAAGGGTCACGAGTTTAGGTGATCCCTTTCTAGTAAATTTCGGTCACCGTAATCTTCCAATTAAAGTTTTGTAATTTTTTTTACTATGAATTTTTATTTTCATTCTATTAATTGAAAAGTTTATGTTCAAACTGCCCTTTTTATTTTACCTAAACGACCTTCTACACATCGAAGAGTCCGCGAAGCATATAAAGGTCAAATTTGATTTTATATAAATACTTTGTATTATAAGTTTGCGTTTGTTTTAGTTTATTATATATTTGTGTTTATTTTATCATTACATGGATTATTATTAAATTACAATTAAATTATCCAATCTCAAATTTGGGTTTGATCTATATTACGATTATCTTTATAATTTTTATTTTTATATAAAATATCTGGTTTATTGGGTCAAAATTTAATTTGAAATTTACATGCGCTTTATTATAATCCACCAAATGGGCGTCCTTGGTTGATGTAATAAATGGGTTTCTGAATGTAGGACAAGTAATTAAACTAATCATCTACGTACAAAGAATTTAAAAAGAAATCCATGTATGATATAAAAATCAGCATTTACTTTCTACCAAGAAGGCATCACTTGTGTATATTTTTTAAAAATTAACCCCATCATGTAATGAAGGAAGGCCGATAATCAGAAGAAAAAAAATGTTTGAGAAGTGGAGAAAATATGAAGAATCAATCCTCAAAAAATCCCATACTTTCCCCACGAAACCTCTCATCTTGAACAGCAAGTGCTAGTTTGTTTAGTTGCAGACACTTCATCATCAGCTATATGAATCTCTTTCCCATTCAAAAGATTAAAAGGTTTCTCCTCCATTTTTGCTGCCAAACTTTTCTGCCTGGTCATGTCATAAATCTTTGTGATCATTTGCAAGAACACTTCCTCAACGTTCAGATTCTTCAAAGCAGAGGTTTCCATGAAACATAACCCTTCTGTTTCCGCATACCCTTTTCCTTCTTCTTTCTCAACTTCTCTTGATTGGTCAAGATCACACTTGTTTCCCACCAGAACAACCACCATGTCTTGGCCTCCAAACTCTCTCAGCTCCACCAACCATTTGCTCACATTCTCATAACTTGATCTCATGGTTATGTCATACACTAGCAATGCCCCTAAGGCTCCTCGGTAGTATGAGCTTGTGATTGCTCTAAACCTGCCACAAAATTATATAATAAGGATCAAAGTCTTCAAAATAAGTGGGGACAGAACATTCTTTGGTAAAATTCAACCTAAAATGTCCTTTAATTTATATGAAGAAATTATATGACAAAATTTAATTACAATGCACTCACATTATAATAAAATTATCATATAATGTTTTTTTTATAATCATATATCGGTACGAAATAACCATCACGACTAATATTCATCCAAGATTTTGGTCTGGAAATGAAGAAATTGAGTGTTTGCAGAACTGTTACATGAATTTCTCGTATATAACCTTAGCTCACGTAAAACTATATTTTGTGTGGAAGACATTGATAACTCACGTAAATGAGATAGACAAATAGTCTGTATCTCCTTGGAGTGTTTAACAATTTTATAGGATTAGAGAGAAGAAATTGTTTGATTATATGGTTGGCCACCAAAATCTTCACCACCTCACATTTATTTCTACACCAGACTCATTGATTGCTGATTGCTGATTTGCCTTTCTGCTCATACTCTATCACTTTCATGTTTTCTTTATCTAACATGAGCTCAACTAGTCCACGTCCCGGACCCGCTTTGCTTAATAGTTACGCTATTTAGAATGCATTGCATGATGAAACAAATAAAAGAAAAGAGAAAGAAAGAAAGCTTAATTTCTACACTTACTCAACTCAAGAGCGACCCATACCTTTGTACTCATTTTTCTTTCGCAACATTAAAATCAATTAATGGAACAAGGTACGGTCACATGTTCATTCTTCAACTAGGGTGTGGGAGGATTTTCTGCTTTCTCATGATGAAAATACAACGAAAGAAGTGGCAAAGAAGGAAAAAAGAAATAGGAAATTGTGCGCATGTAACCCGAAGGCAAAAATAGTGATTACAATTCTTTTTATGGGATGCAAACAAAAGCACCTCTCGGGAGAGACAAATATGTCACTATTCAAATATATTAGTTGGAATAAAATGAAAGTTACATGCACCCACTGAAAAGGAGGAAATTACGGCGAGGTTCCAATAAAGCACCTACCTTTGACAGAGGGCTCGTTTTGGATTTTTGAATCATACAAATTACAGATGCAGTATTCGTTTTCGTGAACTAGTTTATGTACCAAATCCCGAATCCAAGCATAGAATTCAATCATGGTAATCTTAGTGTCTTGAGGGTCCCACTGAATGAATTCTAGCTGGTGATACTTTTCTAATTTCTTTCCCCCACGTAAGTAAACCTGTACTCAATTGGCATGACTTTTTTTAATGATCAAATCTAAGAGATCATCACGGATCAACAGTGCATTTTAAAGAATGCTAAAAAAAAAAATTTCTCCCTCCCTATTTGCAAACACCATAACTAGTCTTGCTTAATTAGTTAACAAAACTACAGCTAAACATGGGACAACATGTTTGTTCGGATCAGATAAGGGAAGAAAATCAAAACAGAACAGATGAGAAGTCTGTCATAAGTCAAATGAGTTTAATTCATAATAAAATCTTCTAGACTAAGCAAATCCAGTGGACACCCACTTTAGAAACCCCAGTTTGAAAAGCCTAAACCTTTCATGAAAACAAGTCCTATGCTGGTAAGATCTACCATGCAACCGAATTCTAATCTGCAAACTCAAAAGAATATTCTATAAACGTTGAAACAAAATGTGTATGATCAAAACATTAACAACGATCAGATGCTAACAATTCAAATTACAAAGGAACAATTGAACAAACAAGAAAAGAAGAATATTTAAACAAATAAAAAAGTTGAAAGCAAAGACCAATTAAAGAGACAAGACAACAAAGACTCATTCATTGGAAGTGATGAAAAAGAAAAAGAGAGAAATTAATAACATGTTACCAACCTTTCTTGGCCGGCAGTGTCCCATATTTGAGCTTTGATGAGTTTGTCTCCAACCTTGATGTTTCTGTAAGCAAATTCCACTCCTATGGTGGGTTTGGAATCCAAACGAAATTCATCTTTTGCAAACCTTGAGAGAAGATTTGATTTCCCAACTCCAGAGTCTCCAATCAGAACAGCTTTAAAGAGATAATCACACTCTTCATCAAATGCATCAGCCATAAATATGACTCTTAAATTATCTATTAATCTCTAGCTTCACCTCTAAACTCTTTTTCTTAATACCCAAAGAGAAGAAATTCAAAGGGAACAAAACTAATGAGGAGGTGGAAAAACTTAACTATAAAGAAAATGTTGATCATGAGCTATTCGGGCACGGGAGAGAGTAAAAATAGGGTGCAAGGTCATGATCATATTTATACAGTGTTAGAAACAAAGGAGGCACTACACAATTCCTTGGTATTATTTTTGGAGGGTATTGAGTAATTACATGTGAAACCGTTGAAAAAGACAATATAATAAGTAATCCTTGATGTTGTTTTGGATGTCATTAATCTAGTGGAAGAGCCAGCCATGGTTTGCCTCCATCTTCAAAGAAAGTCCAATGGAATTATTCCACCTGTCCCCATCAATTTTTTCAATGTGAAAGTTGGCATTCTCATGCTTACGTGGCCCTTCAGGATTGGCGAACACTCCTTGGTGCGCATCACTCAAGACTGGTTAAGGAATGTCATTGTTTTTAGATCATAATTATCTCAAGGTGGTTAAAATATTGCACAGGGTAATGATTCCTAATTATATATCTCCTCTCTGGAAAATATAGTTTTACAAGTGATGATCATAGATGTTAGTGGTTAGGTACCGTTGTAATGATCAAATTAAAAAGGGGTTTGGAATAAAAAAAGTTCTTGCTTTGGCAAAAATCACTCCTAGTTTTATCAAATTAACTGAAGAGGTTCTTGTCTGATCACCGGATTATCCTGTTTTCCGGTTTTAAGGAGGTGGTTCGGTTTGTAATTTTTCAAAACAAACAAGGAAAAAATAATTTTTCCGACAACATGTCCATATATATATACGTGTTTATTTTTTTTCTTTTTGGCAAGTCGCCAAGTTTGCGAAAAATCTCTAAGTATTTGTGAATAAATTTTAAAAAAGAAAAGCAATGGCATGTGATCTAGGAATTAAGGAAATGTTATCATTTTTTAATGATTAATTTACTTAAGGAAAAAAAAAGAATTATGAAGTCATATTATTCTTTGTTTATAAATAATCATAAGAACACGTCTTAAAGGAATTCGGAAAATATTATTATTTCTTATGTATTAACATGTGTATCAATATTCTCCCACTACAAATTATTGTTAGACCTTTTATTTTACATACATGTTATTTTTATGAGCAAATAAAAAGAAGAAAAAAAACATAAGTACTTCTTGCAACAGCTCAAACAGTTCTCATCTCTTCAAGGATTGACATTTATATAACTAGTGTCATATTTTTGCTCGGTTTTCATAATAGCCCCAAGCCTGTTAACTTTTTTGAATCAAGACTTCTTATATTTTGAAAATAATTATTTTTATTTTTTTCTATTCATGTATCAACTGTTTATATGAACCAACTGACATGAGATATCAGTAATCTCAAATTTAAGTTCTCAGTTGATATCAAAAATGTTTTCAAAAAAAAAATTTAACATTATTTCAAGGGCTCGTAAAGAGGTGGGCCAAGGAGTAAGAAGAGATGTGACTGGACTGGCTCATTATCCTGGAAATGAGTCGTTGAGTTGGGGCTTGTTTTGATGGGTATTAAATCGATATTTGGACTGTGTTTTGATGAATCACACCCATCATCCATGAATTAATAAATGGACTGGGCCGTGGACCATCAATCTTGCTGGGTGACAATTTTTTTTCTCTCATGATATATATACCTCCTTTTTTTATAAATACATTTCCTTTATTTTTTTTTAAATTATCAAAAAAAAAATTAATTTTCTAACTTTACACCTCTAACTTTCAATTTGTTACTTTCTTCTTTTTGTTCATACACTTTTTTTTTCTCTTTTAGTTTTCACATGCTATCAATATAGGTGAAATAAATGAAAGGTAAGGGAGTACATATAAAAATTGAAAATAAGAGAGAAGATGTGTGAAAAAAAAATACTAAATTAAATTTTGTGGATGTAAAATTAAAAAAAAAATTAAGAATATTTTTAATTTTTAATTTTTAATTTTTATAAAAGGAGGTGTACTTAACTTTTTTTTCCCCTTTCTGTTTCATTATTACCAAGAATTTGAGATAATCACATGATGACTGGAAAGAGAAAATTAAAAATATATTAAGAGATCATTCATTGATGTATTCATATATCATTAAAAAAATATTATTTATAATGATTATGATAACTGGTCTTTTATTTTATGAGTTTAAATTTTATATATTATAGATATAAAAAAAATTATATTATTAATCAATTAAAAAGTTTCTAAGAATAACTTTTAAAGTAGTTATTATCAAATTTATCATACATGATAAACTTTGAATAAATGGCTATACATAATATTATTTACGCTATAAGTGTATTTTGATTAAATTTAGTCTATAACAAAAATTAAGATTTTTTAAGATTTAAGAATAATTTTAATTAATTTAACCAAAAAAATGGCTATGTTAATATTTCTCTTAATATTTGTGTTTTACCTCGAACAACAAATATTTTAGAATGGGACATGTACCGAATAATAAATTTTCATCTCATATAGACTGCAACAATCGTTCATGAAACATGCAGGCTCGTATTTAAACTTTCGTGATTAATTAAATTGAATTCACATGTTCCATAATTCTTAAAAATAAAACATAATATTGTACTAACATGAATAAATAAAAACTGAAATGCTTATCATATAGTTTAATACAAATTTTCGCTAGAAAAACATTGGTAAAATTATAAGTTTAACTAAAGACATCTGATTCATGATAGTATAATAATTCATTCTCGAGATTAAATCTTTTTTTGTTGGAATCTGAATATTTGATTGAAACAACTTTTTTTAGTATATTTAAAGTTAAAAATATTCGTTTTAAATTATTTAATTTAAATTATAATTCTTATTAATTCAAATTAAATATAAAAATTGGTTAAAATGCTAAATTTTTTATAATATATTGACATTATCAAAATTAATTACTTTTAATTAATATTATAGAAAAATATTTAAAATAAATTTTTAAATCGAGTTCATCAACTCCCGCTTTAAGCATTTCTACCGGTAGAGTACATAAATCATTTTTCATCTCATTCACTTAATCCGATACACATGCTTTTTTAATTTTCTTAATTGATAATTTTATAGCACATTATAAGTATCTTTAAAAAATAAAATAAAATAAAAAAGGGATATTAGCTCAGAAACTAATACGACTTTAATTTTCTTGGAGCTGCATGATTGATATTCTAGTACTTTTTGTAAGTTTTATTCGTGGATCTTTAAAATCCAATTAGTACTTCATAGTATCTTTTAAAGTTGTTTTATTTTTTATAACAAAGACTGAATCTTGGTTCGAATTAACACTTCTAAATTCTGATTTGCAGTTTGGCACATCATATAACTCTTATTTTTGTTGAATCTTTCTATGTAACATTATACAATGGAATCACTCCTACTCCAATTGGTTCAAATATTGTTTCAAATTTTGATTCTGCTATTTTGGATATATTCTGCTTTCTGCATGCACCTTTCATTTAATTGAACTTTTGATGAGACCGGTTAGTGTAAAGTACTCTAGCTTGTTTTCTATGAAACTTGGATTCTGATCCGGTTTTTATGTTCTCGATCATGGTATGTTATGAATTTTGCTTTTGAATATTATTAATTGATGTTTTACTTTTCTATAGTTGATTCCTATTCGGGTTTATTTGCATCTCGTGAATTTCTATCCCATGGTTTCCTGATTCATTCTCTAAGGGAGTTCATACATTTAAACTTTTATCATCCGAAGGAAAAAATAGAATTTTGTTTTTAAAAAGTTTTTTCTATTTTTTATTTTTTATTCAATTTCCTATTCCATTTTTAAACTGTCACATGAGTTTTTTCTTCTTCTCAATTTTCCTTCCTCCTATTTAAACATATCAACAGATGAATAAATTTAATACATTTATTATATCATATTATATCAACAAATGAATGATAAGCTAAACTATCATAACTTATTTTAATTTAATCTTTGATGACCCGGAAAATAGAATAAATTTATTACTTCTTATTCACTACCAGTAAAAAGGGATTTATAGATTATAATCAAATAAAATTTGGTGAACAAAAAAATTCTCTTATACTTTTACCTCACATTATGAAATCTCTTTATTTTACTATATTGTTATAATTATTATTGTTATTGTTATCATTAATTTTATGATTATCAATGACATTATTATAATATTATTATCATTATTATTATTATTATTATTATTATTATTATTATTATTATTATTGTTGTTTTAATAAATTAATGTATTTTTTTAGGAAATCTTTGGTATATGAAAAATTTGACTTTTATGAGAATTTTACATTAGAAATATTAGTTTCTTATGTTCAGTTTGTTATTTAAAAAAATATTGTTCCTCAAAAATTATTTTTTATAAATTTTTTAAGAAATTATTTCCATAAAAATATGGGAAACTAACTTTTCAAGATTAAAAAAAAATCTAATGCAGTAAAAACATTATGTCACGTTATGTTATTTTTATTTATTTATTTAATATAGTAAAAAATCATTGATTTGCAAATAACATTTAAAAAACTTTCCAAAAATATTTATGATAAGCCATACATATTTATGAGTTTTAGGAATCATGTTCCAAACATAAAAAAAAATTATCACGTACCAAACATTCTTTAAAATATTAAGATTTATTTTAAGAATTAATAATTTCTAATAAAAAAATTTATTATGTACCTTATTAGAATCTATTTATACTAGTTATAGTTGAGTCGTAAGTAAGGAAATGAACCCAATAAATCATGGAGGAAAATTGGAATTTGGATCCTCTCCTACAATATTTTCTCTCCAGCCTTTCTCCTGCAACATTAATAATCATTATATATATCTAATGACTCAAATTTAATCTTATAAAAATCATTTAAGAAGTTACATTAATTATAAGATTAAATTTGAGCTATTAAATATATCACATGGTTATTGATGTTGCAGGAGAGAGGCTGGAGAGAGAATATTACAAGAAAGGATCCAAATTCGGAAAACTGGTGTATTAAGGGGACTAGACTTGTAACTCTAAACGTGTGGTTCAGCGGTAGGGGTTGATCCACCTTTAAGCAAGTCAAGGGTTCGACCTGCCTTGTGATACTAAAAAAAAAGAGGGGGGACTAAACTTGTTTAGCGCGTCATTGGTAAGTGCGTTGTGAAGATCGACTGGTCGATCATGCCGACCATACCGGTATTAAGTTACGTAACCAACCATCCCAAACATTTCATACCGGAAATTAAGGGATCCTCCGGTATATTACATAACATCCGCACGAATCTATGCTTAATAACATTTTGAAGTTTGATATTTAAAAAATGAGTTACAAGAAAAAGAATATGTAAAAAAAACTATGTATCTTGAGATATATACAATGCACAGTGCACACATATATAATTGGAGAGGGATAAAAAAGGAGTTATGATCCTCTAATCAAGATAACCCTTTTTTGATACTTTCACGTGACACGCCTCCTTTATGTATATACTATATAGTAAGAAGAGCGACGAGACAGACGCAGGACGACAATAATAGGATCCATTGTCATTCAACTATTATTAAATTTTACTCTTTCATTTTATCTCCATCCAAAAGTTAACATTCATTCATCTATAAGATCGTGTGCCTTTTTCCTTCTTTCACAAATTACTTATAAACCCCAAAAAAATAATTATTTAAATTCTTTTTAATCAAGTAAGAACAAAAATGTAAGATTTTTAGTTGACATTTTATGGATGAAAAATGTGATATATATAAAGAATTCTCATTCCTTCTTAATAACTGTCTCATTTAATAATCACATATTTTATGGACAAATTGGAACTTCATTGACCATGCAAATTTTGTTTCAATTTTATAATTAAAACTTCAATATTTTAATATATATATATATATATATATATACATTTAATTGTATGAAAATGGAGCCCCTTGTATTTCTATTTCTGGTGAGTTTGTTTTGTTCTTGTCCGATAATCTTTTTTGAAAAGTCCAAAATGATTATTGTATTATCGGGGTTGGGAAGTTACAGTTTTGTAGCTTAAAATGAGAATACAACAGTAATTGTTCTAGAATCAGATTTTGAAATTTCATATCTATCGATTGATTCTGATACTTGCTGGAGCTATCAGACTTAGACTACATGCATGCACATGCAAATAGTTCTTCTCTATCCACTAAAAATAAAGACAATCATGTGCGTGAATATAAAGAAATTGGTAGATATTTCAAGACTAGTAAGTATTAATAGTTATAATTAATTATTATATAATAGATATTTAAATTTTTTAATTTATGAAAAAACTTTAGAATACTTAATTAACATATAAAGATTAGTTATTAATTTTTACACAAAATAAAGACTAGTTAACAATTATATGACCACTTAATAATTTTTCGTATATGTGAGATATACAACAAATCATAAAAAGAGAAGAAAAAATATGTTACAAATATGCGTTAGAGCATCTGTAATGGGAGTTGCTTATAAATCTCATGTACCACATCACTGTCACATCTGTTCTGGCCCATTTTATGGGTTGTTTAAATTTTAACAAAATTATTTTTATAAGTAATTTTGTTAAAATTTAAATAACCCATAAAGTGAGTCAGAACTGATGTGATAATGATGTGGCACAGGAGTTGCTTAAACCCTAAACCCTAAATCCTAAACCCTAAACCCTTATAAGCAACTCGCACCGGAGATGCTCTTAAAAAGTGCTTTGGTGGATGAAAAGCAAAAAGGTAAACAAATTCATAAAGTATATAGTATAATTTCATAACTTATATTGGTGCTTTCTTTGGACCACGAGTGAAATGCAAAAAAAAAATGATAAAATAGAGGAGAAAAAAAAGGGCGAGCGAGAGTAATTTCACAAGGTATACCCAGCTATCCAAATTTATAAAATTATCTTAATAATATAATTCTATATATCAAACCTAAGGTAATATATTTGAGAGATTCAACTATTTTTTTAAGCAACGCAAGTTTTTTGCACGTCTTATTTGAAGACAGAAGCAAATTCAACACAGTATGTACCAAATTTGATTATTTTGTACATTTTCCGGCTTTGCCGCTACACGCCAACCGAATAACCGCCCTTGGAAGTCAGTTAAAAAAGTTTGAAATAAATATGGTTCAATGCATATGCCATATTTGACATCTAGTGTTGTTTGAAATTTGAATTAGCCAGATTATAACCGGTGACAAAATTCCTTTTTTCAATGTTTAACATAATTATATATCCAACTTATTAAATTTTTCTAAAAAAATATTAAAAACAAAAATATTACTATTACCTAATTAATTTAGATAATCAATATGATGTAAAAGTCATAATAGAAATGTTGGTTACACATTTTTATCACACTCTTTTAAATAGAGAGTATGTTAAACACTCGTGAAATTACAATAGTCTAACATTAGGTTATCATGTTGATCCACAAAATCTGATTATCAAATAAAAATAAAAATGGATTTTTAGCATTCAAGAGAAATCAAAATTGATTGTTGTTTATTATTAATTATTTTAAAATATTCTAAAAATATATTTTATATATTTTAATTATTTATTTATTTTAATTCCTCCTCTTTTAATAACTAAAAATAACTTTATATTGGAAACATTTTCAATCATCTTAATAGGTGATGAAGCACCTGAACACCATTCGTGGTCGTCCCTTCCTCAATCACACACACTTGGATCTTCGCTTCAGCTAGACGTTGAGAGAGTGCATTGCTTCGCTTGTGTTGTCCGGCCACCAAATATGGGGGCAAAGTCACAAGTGACAAGACCATTTCATCTCTTTACACTCTTGTCCACGGCTGATGATCAGATCTTTTTTTATTTTTTACTTTTAGCTTTTTAGCTGTTTTTCTTTTTTACTTTTTCAACTCATAATTTTTTTATATTTTATTTAAATTATTAATTATAAATCTAAATATAATTTTTATGGAAAATGATTCAGATTCTGAAAAATATGTGCCGAATTCATTCTAAATCATTAAAATAATAATTTAAATTATAAAATATTAAATTAAATAATTATTTTATAATAAATTTATTAAAAAATATTAATATTTTAAAGTTTCAAACGATATTTTCGGAAATCGTATTATAATTCAATTTTTATATGTCACATAATAATTTATTATGATAAAATTTAATTATTATAATAATATGAATAAACATTTATTCTGTGAAGTTTTCTTGTTTTGAAAAATATTCGATGAAGTAGATAGGCACTGTATGCCCTGACAAGCTGACTCATCTTTCCCATCCACCACGATGTACAGCAATCTCTATGGCCGTGTTTCGACGATTCTCCTTTGCGTATAGTACAGGTACCAGTATTTCGGGTACTACGTATACAAATACCGAATTAAAATCAACCTATGGTCTGCATTGAAATTCGTAATCAATTGAACGGCGTGATTCCCCGCATGCCACAATTTTTTCTTCAAAGCTGACCATTCAACAAGAATACATCGTCACGGCGTAATTCCGCATCCACCTAACAAACAGAGGTTTCCAACAAATTCATGGAAAACGTAAACAGTATTATATTATTATTCCCTATAGGAATTCAAATTTTCAATTAGATTTTCTAATTCTAATTCTGCGCAGTGATTAAGCACGATTCTAATTATTTATAGAAAAGCCAAAGCTACGAAACGAGGAGAAAGGTAATAACAGAGCCTAACGGAAACAGATGCAGATCTATTAATCAGAGATTATGGAAAGTGCCTAGCTAGTTAATTCGAATCCAAAGCGCCTAATCTATATTATCTATTCGCCGTTGTTGGCATTAGCGCGGTTGTTGCTCATCATACGCTTGAACTCCGAGAAGTTGACGTTGCCGTCACCGTCGGAATCCACGGATTTGATCATGTTGTGGCATTCATCGACGGAGCACCTCATTCCGAGGCGGGTC